CAGCAGGAAGAATCTGAGCTTGGTGTATTAGGGGGAAATGGTCAGTTGTGGACACTAGGACTTGGATTGTTAGTGACGGCAGTGGCCGCAACTTATGTGACGCGACTTGCAAAGGTTTTTACCATTCTTGCTTTCTGCTTTTTGCCCCTTCCTTAGTCTGAGGTTGAGTTCATCAATAAATTTTAATGTTAGGGTCTCAACTTTTATCCTAATCTTTTAGCATCAACTGGAAACTGGCATAGTAAGTGAGACGCTTAAAAAATCGACATGTTAATAGAAAAATAACAATTAAAAACTTCTCTGTTTTCCTTCCGTTAGGTTTTTTGGTCACTTTTTTGTTTTATCTCTTGTTTTTTAAGCCTAATAGGGAAAATTCTTTTCTGCAATACTGATGGAATATCGTCTGCGTTCTGCTTATGGTGCAGGATGCTGTAAAGGATATTGAATAGGCACAGGGACATGGTTTGCCCACACTTAAAAAGTGTAGAACAATATAATTAAATTTACTGCAAAAATTTGCGAATGTATCACTTCCATGTAAATCAAAATGGTTTATTCTAACCAAATGATATAAGAGCCTTTTCATTCTTCTTCTTGAAATGCGCTTCGTTGACTACAGAAATATGTTGTATATACATATACTTTTCATTTATCTGTTTCGTCAAACCCCAGATTAAACAAGAAAGAGAGAGGAGTAGAATATTTTGTAGGTCTAGAAGAATTTTGCGAAGTTGCAAATGAACTTATTTTCCCACTTGTTATAAAACAAATGCAAATATTAAATTGCAAAGCATAGGTACTCGCGAGAACAATTTCTGATCATTCATCATCCCGTTGTTGTTGTACGAGCTCAGTTTTAGTTCTTTTCTCGGCTGCATGTTCAAAAGAGGATAGAATATGCATGTGATGCTAATAGAAAATAGCATCGTGTTAATAGAGCACGGAATATGAATTAACTGATTATCGTCCATATGTTTTTCTATTTTTAACACTACAACTAAAACAAATTGATAGGTCAGAGGCCAACTTTAGAATGTTTTAAAAATTAAGGGTTAAAGTGGAATTGAAAGTAAATTCTCAGTAACCGTTTTTGACATCAACCCTAAAGTAAAATACTCGTTAAAGGAAAACACAAGAAGTTGTGTAACAATCATAATGTAAAAGCTATCAACGATATTTTCAACAAATGTGTAAATCTCATTAAATCCAATTCTAAAAGCATAAATCTTTGCCCTTAATTCTAATAATTGAAAAGATCCAAAACCATATTTTAAAGAACATAAACTAGGACGAGGAGCATATTTTAAGGGGACTCAAATCATATGTCTAATTTTAGTGTTTTAATGTTTTCAATTGATTATTTTATGCTTTTATATTTGAGTCCATTTAATAACATGTCATATGCTAATTAGTTAGACATTAATTAAGATACTAAAAATTAGACAGGTGATTTAAATCCATTTTAAGGACCAAAAATAAAACCCTCGACTATTACTTGTTCACACTTCATACAATAAAAGGAAAGAATTTACCAAAACATTAAACCAAAATAAATATAATGAATTCCAATCCCACAAATCACGAGGTTACTATGATGCAATTTCCGTATGAGTAGTTTCCTAATTTCTTATTACTTGATTGTTGGGAAAAAATAGTAAATAACATATTTTTAGAAAATAAGTGAAATAAATATCAGATTTTAAAAACTATTACAGACTTAAATGATGGGCTTCGAGCCTGTCAGAAGTTTAGTATGGGCGTTTTCTTGCACAAATATAGACCATGTTCATTTCGCTGATTCGAGTTTAGAATTTAAGTTTTGTTACAGTAAAAAGCTCTAAGAAATAATCACATCTAACTTTTTTGTTACAGTAAAAAACTCTCATATAAAGTCACATTTCAACTCGAATTAAAAACTCGAATCAACGAACTAAATGGGCCCATATTTCTTACCTACAGATACAAATATATTTCTTTCAAATTCCTTCAAGTCTTTAAAGTTTAATCAGTCCGCACCCTGGCATATACTATAATCCTGCTTCCGTGGTATCACTCACCAATCCATGCAAACACGCGCCGACGGTATGCTTATTCCTACAAAAATTTCAGGCTCGTCTCTGTTTTTTTTTTTTTTTTTTTTTCCTTTTATTTCAAATATACGTAGTGATGTGATAGTTTTTCTTTTCTTGATTACATTTTTTTTTATAAGAATAGTTCGTCACCATCTTGTTTAAGGTAGGCATTCTTTACGTTTTACAGTTTATTTTATTTTATTTTTTTTGGTTCACGATGTTGTTGGGAGTTTCTATGATTGACCTTTTGCTTTCTGTTTCCATTAATGATCTCCTTTTCTTAAGGTTATTCCTCTAAACAAAGAGATTGTATATTATGATCAATTTTTTAATTATTAAATCTAGTTAAAATTAATTGAGATTAAAAAAATATACAGAATAAAAATTTGTAATATAAATTTAATGGTTGAAAATGACTAAAAAAAAAAAAAAATAATAATTCCATTTTTTTGTCGCACGGGAGAAACTCCCCTGCAAAAAAAAAAAAAAAGAAAAAAAAAAGAGAAGTTTGTAGCTTATGTTCAATGGTGATTTGACCTCGTTTAGGCGTTAGATTTTATGTACCAGTCACTCTTATGTCATTAGTTAAGAGTAGTTTTTCTTTTTTCTTTTCTTTTTTTAAATAAAGAAATTTCTTTTAAAAGCAAGTCAGTAATGATCAAATATAGTCATAAATGAGCACCGAATGCAATAAAATTCACCCACAGATAAAAAATGAGACACAGATAAATATGAGTACCGAGACACAAAGATAATAAAGAATGACCCGCTCAACATGTTATTAATTAAGTGCGATAAAATTCGTTTGAGGCGACAACTTTCTTTATTATATAATGAAAACATAAACGCTGAAATGATGCAATAAATATCACTTTTAAAAACTAAAAACATGACAAAAATTCCAAACTACATAGACAAGATCATTAGAGACAAGTTATCCAACAAGACCGTAGAGGTTAGATCTGTAAGGACCCCCGCAACTCCACTGGTAACGATGAAGATCCATATGACTCCACAATCGATGCTGAGCACCTATCCACGCACAACCACCACCGTAATGAAGAGAGCGAGATCCCGAGATTGCAGGAACACCGGAGATTTGATGTGCACCACATGGTCGGTCAGAAAGCCAGCACCTCCAATCCATTCCCTCCGCTCCACGCGTATAACATTAAAAACAGCTGCAAGAGTGGGACCCATTCCATGTCCTTAATGTTACCTTCTTCTTCCGTTCTTCGTATTGTATTTTTCTCTTAATTCACTTACAAGTCATCTATCCACTTGGGTCTCCGTTTCTCTTTGAAAGGAAGAATAAAGATTAGCTTCATTTTCTCAAGAGATTCGATGTGGATCAAAGAAAAAAACAAAGACAAAAACATACACACAAACTAAATAGGAAAAATTAATATTAGGGATAAGAATCTATGCTCGACTTTTTATCGTACAAACTAAAAAACCCTCTTTTTTGTTTTCATCTGTATTTCATATTTAAGCATGAAACAATTTCTGACATAGGAGGCAAAAGAGTGGGTTAGTGTGGAGAGTGTTTTCGATGGTGGTGGCAATGGATGGAACAGAGAGAAAACAAGAAATGGTGGGTATGGTAGATTATGGAGTCAAAGAGAGAATGAATATGACTCTCTGATGGTTTGTCAGATCTAAGATGGAGCGAGTTTGTAGTTAAATAAAATAAAATAAAATAAAATAAAATAAAATAGCAGGAGCATGGGTCCCATTTTCTGCATCAGCTTTTGAATTAAGAGACGTGACGAATTTTATAAATTAAGATTAAAATTAAGACACGAATTAATTTTATAAATTAAGGGAATCTATTTCCTTTGTTAAGTTTCCGGACATTACCAATCTTATTTTCACTTGGGAGATTCAGAAGTTCTCCAAATTATGTGACAAAGAAATATATAATTCCAATAACTTTACCATCAGAGGGAAAAGCTGGTATTGCCTTATTTGGTGACCCAACTTGACTAGTGTAATGTGTTATTTTTCTTCTATATCCAGGTTTTTACAGATTTGTCCTAATGGAAAAGGTAGTACTAAGGGTAAAGCACTATCGTTATATTTAATGCCAAATAAGGCCAATTGGGATAGTGATCGGAATAAAGCCACGGTTTATGCAAAATACAAGCTACGGCTGCTTGACAAACTCAACGACAAACACTCTCATGAGCGTGCTGGTGACCGTTAACTCTGAATTCTCTCACTAAAATATTTTTATGTTTGGTAGCTTGTATTATAGTGTATAAGGTGTATTACATGTGTTGTATTATCGTAGTATTTAGTGTCATGATCTATTATATAAGGTACCAAAATGTGAAATTTTAATAATTTTAGGGTCACAATGCAAATTTTAAAAAATTTTAGGGTCAAAATATAATTTTGTAAAAGTTTTAGGGATAAAATGTAAGTTTTAATAAATATAAAATTTACGTTGTGCCCTCTGAATTTTTTAATAATTATAGGCTCCGTTATAACCCTATATCAACCCGACCCCGACCTCTAGTCATATCTAACCCTGACATGAATCATTGATCCACTATAAAATAATACAATACAATACGTTAAAAATGAGCGGTATTTAATAATACTACATAGACCGTATTAATTTATATAATACGATAGTCACACTGAATATTGTATTATTATATTACTATATAATACGGTATTTTAATACGGTCAAATAAACATGCCGTAAAGAAAGTAATTTGATTTATGTGTCACAAGCTTAGAGATGGTTGGACACAAATCTACCTTTATAGCGATGAAATCCACTCAACAGTCCACCTAAAAGCTTAGGTTCGAAGTGGAAAGAGCTTTAAATGCGGAAATAGTTCATCTAATGAATTGTAGGCCGTGTTTGAAATTAATTCCGTTTTTGTTTTTCATGTTTTTCGAGAAAAAAATGAAAACGTTTTCAAAACGGCATTGGCGCAATAAAGACAAAAAACAGAAATGAAAACGATTTTTTAGTTTAGTGTAAAATGAGAGAGAAATGAAAAATGACTTTTAGTCATTTTTCATTTTTTGTTTTCGTTTTCTCCTCTCTCGAGCAGAGAGAGAGAAAGAGAGACATTAATGGGTTTTACACTGAAAATAATCTCTTGATAATACTATCACAATATCGTGAATTAAATTCAGAAATAGTTTCAGTTTCAAGCATACGAAGATTTTCAAACCTGGTTATGAGCATGTTCAATTTTGATTGTCTGACTACGACTGTTCCTGCATGCGTTACCTCCAGAATTTCCCATGCTTCTTTTGTCGATTCACATGTGGATATCATTTTGAACTGGTGAACATCCACTCCATTGAATATTGCATTGAGTGCACGTGAGTTGTAGTTGGCCAACCTGTCTTCATCAGTGCTCCATGACTTTTCAGGCTTGAGAATCTCCTTTCCTTCTGCATCCTTTGTTTCTGGATGCTTCCATCCGATCAAGATTGCATGCCATGCTCATTCATCTTGAGCTTTGATGAAGGTCTTCATCCGAGCCTTCCAATAAGAATAAT